TAGTGATTTTATTGCTGCAGCTTAATAATGTGACATTCCAGATTGCCTTTTCCATTTTCATATTTTGCTTCCTTACTATTCAAAAACAATTTCAAGTTTCTGAGCACTTAAGATGTGAACACAAATTCTCTAACACAAAAACATGGTATCTTGGGTGTTCTTTCATTTTTAAAAACCCACATGAATTTGGTAAAAAAAAAAATTTTGTATCAATACCTGACTTCAGTACACTAGAAAATCCATTTTGTGTTGAAAGTTTCTGCTCCATGAGAAGTGATTTCAAAATAATACCAAAAAAAATTTCCACCAAATACAAACTAACAACTACACCCAATGCCCCAAATCACACTGTGTGCTCATTTCTTTAGTCCTTCAGCAGATAAATCCAGTTATCAGGCGCTTCACTGGATCGGGGTCAGGAGAGAGGAAAGGTGGTGGTAGGGCTGTGGTGCCCTCATGGAACTAATACAAAAGCAGGGTTGGTAGGCACAACCCTTGACTATGACATTCTACATACCTAATGATACAACTTTTCAAAATTCTTTCATATATAATTCTTAAAAAAAAATCAACATTAAAAATTTGTCCCTATATGGGTTTTTAATAAAGTTAATAAAAGTAGCCTAGTGCTTCTTAGTTGGAGAATTTTAGAACTGTCAGGCAGTTTTATTTGTTGATTCATTTTGTATTTATTTTTAATAGTTCAGAAGTCTTTTTCCACACCTATCATGACATGAAATCATGGGGAGTGGGTCTTTTCCATGGGTTCTCACAAAGTGTGCTGCTCTGGGTGAGCTAAACCCAAGTACTTTTCTCTTTGACTTCCTGAAATGTGTGAAAGAAAATGATCAGGAAAAAGGAAGTTATCTAGGCTCTTAAGAGTGTTCAATATGCTCAATTCTTTCGGCAAGAATCTTGCCCTTTGCTTGTTTGTTTACAACAATGCCAACTGCATGCTGGGCGACATTATAGACTCTTCCAGCTTTGCCATGGCAACACTTGTGGGTATTCCTTTTTGAACAGTGCCCATTTCCTTGATGTCTGTGAAACCACCTGTCTTGTAGATTCACATATATGTGATCAAAGGAACTACTCCATAGTTTCTAAAAGTCCTAGAGAACATGCAGCGGGTGCCTCTCTTTCCCTTGGTGTTGGTCATTTTGGCAACTTACTGGAAGATAGCAGTTCTGGCCAAAAAGAAGACTTTGTATTTAATCTCGAATGTGAATCTTATGATTCAAAAGAAAGACCACTCTGGTAGGAGTGCTGGCCAGGATTGACAAGTTCACCATTATTGCTTTATCCTAGTAGGTCCTGAATCAGTAATTAAACTCTACAAGGTTCATGTTATGATACTATTTTAATTACAGCATCAATTCAAATTTCAGGATTGATTGCTTGCGTTTTTATCTTGGCAACATTCAATACATTAATATATCTTTCACTTACATGCAGAATGCATCCAAATCAATCACCACTTCAAGAGCACCTTAAGAAAAAACTAAACTTTTTTTTTTTTTTTTTTGGTGGGACCCTCGCCGGTGGCCAGGGAACGAACCAGCACTGCAGAGGCTGCAGACAGCCTCGAAGCCTAGCACTCAACCGCTGCGCCATCAGGGGAGGCCCAAAACTAAACTTTTTAAAAAGGATATACTCGCTATAATAATTGTTAATGTTGCTCTTTCAATTAGCCTAAGTAGTCAGGTTTCTGTTCTTATTATATCTAATTTAGTTTACAGTGAGTTAAAAAAACAGATTTCACTGTATTCTGTAGTGCATGGAAGTGCAACTGCTCTTATGTAACATCTAACAGCCTGGGAGCTAAAACAGAAGCGAGAGCTTTGTTTAGTCTCCATAATCAGGCCGAAGTGCTCAACTGCATATTGAACTCTGCGACTAGGCAAGAAAAACAATCTTATGAAGATGCATTCAGGAAAAAAAATAATCACTGAAGATTGACTTGTAATTACAAAAATAGTGGCTACCATATATATCTACACATACAAAAAAACTATTTTTCTCACGTAGAAACAGGTTTTAGAGACATGAATCCATCTGCTGAAAGTCATACAGATGATAAACCAAGTTCCTAAGGGCTCAGTGATCACTTGATCCAGAAAGCCTCAGAATGTAGGTAAATCAGTGCAGGGTGGGGGTGGGGGCGGGGGGTTTATGTTTCTTAATGTCCATTGTCTGTCTGTTTTTTAAGTCTGCTCAAGAAATTAGCACTTGCACTCCATCTCTCACTCTTCAGGATGCGGGCAATTCTTAAAATGAGAGGTGAATTTTTGAAAACTTTGAAAGATGTTATTCCTTTAAGAATGTAGTACATTTATTTTTAAAATGACTTCCCTAAGAGAAAGGGCTACTTTATTATGGTAGATTATCAAATCCTAAAAATTAACAATAGGAAAACATAAGACTGCGTTACATAACACAGCAAAATGAGAAGCCTTCCTGTTTTCTTTTTTTTTTAATGAGGGGGAAAACCCCACAAAAACCTTGACACACAACTGTTTGGAGTTGGGCCCAGTTGATCTTTTTGGATTTCACCTTGGTGCTTTCACTGAAGGTATAAGGCACTCTTGGCTTCACCCTCAGGAATGAGATTTGGCAGCTGTTCAGCACCACAAAGCAGCATTACGTAACAAGGCAGTTCAAGAAGCAAGCAAGAAACCCACGTTGAAACGAGGCTTTAGTGAGTGGGCGTGTGATTAGCAGGAACACACTTACACCAACATAGAGGCTATAAGCTGTAAGGCCACAGAAGTGGTCATCCTTACGTAAGTGTTAAAGCCTTTCCCACAGTACATCTCTGAACTGGACATACTCACACATCATAAGCAGTGACCTTCTCAGTGAACATCTGTGTGGGAGGGAACTGCTCCTGCCACAGAGCCTGAATTCTTGTGGGGATGTTCTGGGAAGTCAAGTATGTTGACTGGCCCCCCCCATCTTTTATAATGCCACCGCAAAGAAACATTTTCTACGTAACAATTTCAATAGGAGGAGACAAGTTTTGAAACTTTTCTGACCTTATCAGCAACTCTTAAAATATATAATACAATAAAATAGATAACTCACTACCTCACATGCGTTCTTTCCTAAGCATAAGTAGTAAGCCCACACTGGTTTTAATTTTCTTAGCTCCAGAGACATCTTTTTAAATATTTTATATAATTCTTACATCATTTTTGCACAATGTATGCATTTTCATGTTGGTTATATGCCCCATACAATTGCACCCCCCTTATTTTGACCCTAATCCTTCCTGCCCTTCTCCCCATCCCCCCGCAGTGTGTCTCTGGTTTATAGTTGCTCGCTTTTAATTTTGCTTGGGAACAATTCTGACTCGTAGCTTGGTACCCCATAGCAAGCACTTTGATTATATAAAACTTGCACATTAAAGCGACATGTTACAGTAAAATTGAGAAATTACTAGAAGATACAACACCACAAAACCAACCAAAAACTATGCTTGTTTAAAAGCAAGTAGGTCTGTTCAAGGATTTGTATAATCAGTATTGACAGAAAGCATGTACAAGAACTTAGCATTAAAAGGCAGTCCCTTAATAGGGGTAGTTGTTCTGCTGAATGCATCAGAGGGTACATCTTTGGACATCTATTTTAAAACCTATCATTTCTAGACTGTAAGCACTACACAGTACAGTTTCTTGCTTAGGAAACTAAAGTGGCTATTTTTGTGACAAAATGCACATAATTTTATGAAAGGATTTATTTGGGATCTTTTTTCTGGCAAAAATGTTGTAACACCAGATTGTATATCATACAAAAAGAAACTGAGGCCTAGTAACCTGCCAGTATTATTCAGGCTCATAACTGGAAGATATGGTTGACATTAGATACACATGATTTCTGTTATTTAATCCACTGAATGGCCTAAATTAGAGCAGAAAATGCTATTTGCTTTACCTTGAAATATTAGTCTGTACACGGTCCCACACATTTTGGGATTTATCTCATAATGATCTGCTCACTATGGCAAATGTTGAGCATATTAGAAGGTTGATATTTTGCATTTGAGTAAAATAAATGCTAGTGTTAAAAATTAGAATGCACCAGAAATTTCACTCCAAATTTGTGATTTGAAGTGAATGCTAACTTAAAGCTGGAAACACTGATGTTCCATTTATTGTCCTCTTTAATGACATTTTATCTAAAGAACTTCATCATAAAGTTGTACAACTACTGGGAAGCTACTCAGAAATGCCACTGCATCAATCAGGTAAGTGAGACTGGGTCTCCCTGTGCACAGCTTCACATTGCATGTTCTCTGAACTAGGTGGTAAAGGATAGAACTCATGACCTTTATCATGCTGGAAATAAGGCGAGAGCTACACACAGCTTGAATCAATGCATACACTGATGATTAAAGTGTAGTTGGTGAGACACACTGACAACAATTAAAAACTATCTACATAAGGTAAAGCAAATCGTCAAAGAGGCAAGAGAAGCTGCTTGTGTCAGCAGCACCACCAGTCCCAGGGTAAGCATTCTCTTTTCATCATGGTCAATTCATTAGCAGAGAAGAAAAGGCAGAAACTATGGGAAATGCAGGCCATCTGCTCGATCCAGATGCAACAGCACATGCCTCTTTACCCAAGGCTTTTTAACAGAAACAAGCAAAGATAAGATCTAATCCTCTCATGAAATAGCCAACAAAGGTAGTTAGATATATTTGCATCACAAATAATAACACCAAAATCGTGACTAAATGAGACCTCTTAAACATCAGTCAAGACTTTTACTACTGAGTATCACTGATTAAACAGAATACTAAGTCAGCATTAGAGGAGATGGGGTTGAATTCTATTAGATTTATTCAGCTAGTGCATAAATAAAATCATGCCTACAACATGTTTCTTAAACATTTTAGTACAGTCATCCTACTTTTCAGAAGGCATTAGAAGATACTCCTTTAACACTGTATATTTCAAGTAAAATGCATTTCTTACAAGGTTAAAAGCAAATATTCTTACCTTGAAATTGTGAACCTTCTCATATTTTGGAATTTGCTCGTTTTCTTTCAGAGTTGCTCTTCTAACAAGTGATGTCAACTGTGAATAAGCAAAGAGTTTCAGAGGTTGCCAGATTGTCACAGACGACTTTTGAGAACCCAGTTTCATTCCCAAGGCTGCTATCAATAAATCTTGCTGACGGCCCTCTTGTTTTGATTTGTGAACTGCAGCTCTATTAGTTTTCCTACCCGACCAAGATTCTTTGGATGGCATTTTGAATTCACAGGAAAGAAAGAAAACCTATATTGATCTATGTCTGTCGATGAACTCTGTTCAGCTAACAGATGAGCATTCTGCCGGGCAGCACAGAGCCCTAACCTACAGAGAGCTGCAGAGAAACATCACGGAGAGGTGGAGGAGGATGATGAAGCACTTCTTAAAAAGAGGTCGACTAACCAGAAAAATTCTTCTTTCTTCCTTTTTTTTTTTTTTTTTTAAAGGGCTCTAGATTTAAGCTTCTGAAAACTTAAGAGTCTGAACAGAAATAAGAGTCGATGCAAACATCCAAAACATTTAGCATCTTTACCCCTTTTAAAAGCCATGCAATTGTGACAGATTACATTTTTAAAATCTTTCTTCTCTATTCAATTTATTAATGTCCATTCTGAATGAAAGATGCCTGCAATCAGTTTCTAGCAGCAGACACCCTGTGAACCCCCTAGCAGGGAGGGTGGGGGAAGGGAAGGTTTTGACAGGGAAGGCTGGATTTAGACTGGTCACCGAAAGAGGAGAGATAACCAATGAAAATCAAGCAACAGCATTTAAGTACTGTATTCCTAAACTCACTCTGTCTCTGTTTCTCCCTCCTCTCATGTAAGATTTTCTTGCTGGCTCAAGGAAAAAAAAAAAATCAGTGGGAAGATAATGAGCAGTGAATGAGTCACGCATTATTACAAAATGGGATTTTTTTTACTTATTAAAAGCAAAGGAAAATTAACACAGCACAAGGCTTTAAAAAGAACATACCACTGCCAAGTAGATTATGAAAGGCTGATCTATATCCTCCTTTCTGCATATGCTAAGGTTAGTTAACTATAACCCAATAGCAAAAACGGAGTATTTGATTAAAAAAAAAAAAAAAAACTTTCAGTAGGAGCACACATAACATTGCTAACTCCCCAGAGTGGTCAGTTTTGTCTCCCTACCATGAGCAGTTTTGATGTGGATCTATACTTAAATCCAATCATTATTTTAATTCCTACTCTGAACATTCCTTATTCAAGAGGTTGAGGCCAGAACACAGTGGGAGCCAGTCGGGGATAACTCCTCATTTACACAGATTCGCAGGTTCCAGACACAGTGGGTCTGTGCTTATAGGACCTGTGGGTATTGTTTGCTGGTGTAGAAAGGGGCATTGGGTAAGAAACTCAAACTAAGGAAGTACCTATACTTTTTTTTACTAAGGAGCTGAAGTCAAGTTTTCCCATATTGGTTCCTTAAACATCCCCCATCTGTTTCCTCATACTACAGTAATTGCATTTAACCTGCGATGATTGAATGTAACACTGTATTTAGAGAATCTAAAGCTCTCTATATTTAAATAGTTATTTACTTAGTGCAAACAATTTACCACAGATTTCATACTCGATGAGGGTGCGTGTCCAATGCAGATTCTCATCTAATTAGGATCAAAGTGGTCCTTAAACCATGGTAGAGATTGGGAATATTGAATGACTGATTTCCTAAACATCCCTAAGTATTGTTTACTTGCTTAAGTTTACAGTTCCGTCTTTTAAAAATATTTTTAGGTAAATAAAAGGCAGAAGTTAATATTTATATGTACAGATGTTTCATTTTCACCAAATTATATCCATATGATTAATGAGACCTAAAATGCCTGCGTTCAGGGGAAATGCAATGGGAAAACATTCCTTGTTTAACCTAAATTACTCTTCAGCTTAGACCTACTTTGTCATGTGAGGACTAAAAATATAAAGGCCAGCCAACCCTTAGACGGGTACAGTTAAAGTGATGTTTATCCAGTTCTCAGTAGGCACTAGGGAAAAAAAGACTCCAAAGGCAAATTTACCAGTAAACTTTTCCTCTACAATGTCGTTGCTTATTTAAGGAAAGCAATGACCCATGTACACCAAGTAGCTTTTTTTTTTTTAAGCATTTCTGATCAAGGTTCTGTTAATACAAATCATCCCAGTCCTTCAATTATTATGAATAAAATGCATCCAAAGCTTAAAAATATTTGTGGTAGTATAGATCTGAGGCTTCCAGAAGGGTATGGGGAGGGAAGAGCATAAGGGCTGTGACGATAGAACTATGGGGACTACAAATGAGAGGAGAAATCAAATATTGTACTAAAAATAAACATTAAAGTAAAAAAATGTGGTAGTTATTCCTAAAATTCATAGCTGGGTAAAATTGAACATTTGGACATTGAGAGCATGGTCTGCTGTTCTAAGTAATGTTCTATCTAATCAAATACTGGTTTAATTGCAAGTTGGGCAGCTACCTACAGCGTAAGGAGATTAAAAAACAGCAGATAGAGATGAAAAGTTCTCAGCTAGGCTCAAATGGCTGGTCACTATCATACCTTTAATCACTGCAACTGCATTTCTGCATTAATTTTGCTAAAGATCTCTCAGGTCATAAGAACTGCTAACTCAAGTTCAGAACCAATATCAACATTCTAATGTTTCAGACAGGTGCGTCCGACTCATCCTTATATTTGAACATATCTAGCTAAAGATATTTGGTTAAAAAAAGACAACCAAAAGAAGGCAGCTGTTTTTACTGGGAGGTAGTAAAGTATAATAAGGCAGGATTTCAGATCAGAGAACACAGAATCCTGACCTTGGGAGAGTTGTTTGGTCCCTTGTCATTTTATCTGCATACGATGGATTAACACTACCTCTCTTACAGGTTGGCTGCTAGGCCGTATAAAGGGGGTGACATGTAAAAGAGGAAAGGCAGAGAGAAAGCACTCAATAAGTGACAGCATTAACAGGACCATGCCAAACACTAGCCACAAGGTATGCCATGGAGGTAGAAGACATGGTCTTACCCTCAAGGATCTAAATTGCATTTGGTTTATGCCATACAAATATGCCTGGTAACTCCTGCCTTTCCCTTTGTATTATGATCTCTGCCAGTTTCCCAAATTCTAGCTCACCCCTACCTATAAAAATGCATATAATTAAAGACATACATGTTAGTCAAGGCAGCACATGGTGGAGTTTGGAAATGAGAGAACCAGCATTTATTAAGAAGCCAGGAACAATGTTTAATGCTTCATATACTTGTCTTATTTACTAGTCACTGCACTCCTGGGAGCACTGCTGTATGATGGACATTTTATAGATGAAGAAACAGGGACTCAGTGTCTCATTCAAGGTCACTGTCAGAAAATGGGTGATCTGGGATCTGAATTCCTGTCTTCTAAGACCTGATGCTTCTTTCTATTGCTTTATAATGACAGCAGGAGAGAAATTTAAGGTGTTAGGGGTATAGCGCTATCATAGTCTGCTCTATAAAATAGACAAAATGGCTTAATTGTGTGAGTGGCGACAAACTGGCAGGGCACACATCCCACAATACCATTTGTGCTGGAAACACGAGCAGTATTTAGTTGTTTTTACTGGGAAACTTTGGCCTCTTCAAACCTGATTCTAACCTTTCTTGATACTGATGGTGACTTCTGCATGTTCACTGAAATGAGAAGAAGAGATAGGGAATAGGCAGATTCCATAGCCTGCTCGGTCTCTACCTTTGTCCATACCACCTGTGATATGCAGAAATAGACCTCTAAGAAGGGTGTATGTGTATGTGGAGGGTGATGGGCAGGGAGCTGTGTGAGGAATAAAGACTGGAAGAGGAAAATAGGTGACCCTGGAAAGGAGCACATTTGCTATTTTTCAAAGAAATTTCCACCAGTGACTCCACTACCCTGTTGTCTGCCTATTAATAATACTGGTTTTGTGTGGAGCAACCACTCATTTTCATCAAATGTAGTATAACAAGCAGGAGCTCTAAAGACAAAAGTACTGACCTTAACCCTTTCATCTACTGGCTGTAACATGCCCTTGGTCAAGTAATTAATTTCAGTCTTTATTTCTTTATAAAATGGACTAAAATACTTGCACTACAGTATTATTAAGAATTAAATAAGATTATATGGGAATTGGTTTGTACTATCCCTGGCAATGGAATAATACAAGAATTCTTGTATACAAAAATCTACTATGATTAAGGTTACTGTATTATGTGACTATGATATAGGTTAAAGGTCCACTGTCCTATGCAATGTTAGCTTCAGGTCAAATTGTAGCCAGGTGGTTAAAAGGATACATCATAAATATCACTGTTCTGCAATCTTTACCCTGACCTGGCATTCTGAACCCCTGGGCTCAAACCAAGTACTCCCTGTTCTACCTTCTGGCCATGAAACCCTGCTTCCCTGAAAGGGTCTTACCACAGTAGGTAAAAATAATGGAAATGCTTCCTATTCCATAAATATCTAGTTTTAAATATAGAACTAAGTCTTAAGCTAAAGGACAGGTATGACAAACCCATAGTTAACATCATAGTCAGTGGTGAAAAATTGAGTTTTTCCTCTAAGATTAGGGACAAGACAAGATAGTGGTAGAGTGTAGATGTCAGGTGAGTCTCCTCCAGAGACACAACAAAACTGATGCAAAACAAAGTCAACTCCCCCTCCCCAGCCCCCACTGTCACATTAGGAACATTAACCTGACTGAAAGGAGTAGGGAACACTGGAACTCCGTATAGAGTGATAATGGGGCAGAAGGACCCACCTGAGGGGGGAGGGCTATGGTGCAGAACCTCCTACAGCCATTGACTTGGGTACACACTAACATCAGAGCTCCTAGGACTGAGCACAGCACTGTATAAGGAGGTGCTGTGTCCATCAGCTACCCTGGATGGAGTGTGCATTGCAGGAGAACAGCAGAGGTGGGGGCACAGAGCAGGGACTAATGGCTTAATCTGAGGCTCCTAACACAGAATAACTTGTAGCCTGAATAGTCAGAGGACCTGGACTTCCCTATAGAAGAGGACAGTAGTGAAGT